AGATACCTTTCAAGGACCCGAGACATTTGGGCAACAGCCTCGAACCCGTGAATCACTTCACGACTTCAAGACTCTCACGACGTTGTCTGTGATTACTTCGTCAGCCTGAAACTCTCAAAATCGCATGCTGTTGGACTAATCCGCCAATTTTCTTTCACCCACGGATCATTCCACCTTAAAATTGGCTAGAATACAAAGTAGGGAATGCCTCCACAAAATCTCAAATAAAATCTATACCAATATCTTGGTCCTGGAACGGAAGTCGTAATCCAAAGGCAAGTAAATCATTTTGGTGTGGTCCTGAAAGGGCCGTTTTTAGTCAGTTTGGGCTTTTGACGTCCACTTTCATCGACTGAGGCATTGCACACAAACTAATGCTTCCTCTCCACCGTAAGCAGCGCAACTGCTGTGTGTTCGGCGCCCGCATTTCTGGCACTGGATTCATTGTTCCTCATCATCCAAATCGGCCGTATTCCATGCAGATTTGCAGACACTGCAACAGTTGGCCTTCATCGGTGATGTAGGATTGGTTTGCCTTCTGCGTTTAATGTCCAGTTTGTACTTCGCTGATGTCGTTTTTGACAGTCTTCGGAACATAGCATGCTCCAGCGGGTCACCTAGGACTAATTCGCCGTCCTCACTGTCGACTGATCGGCTCACCAAAACTGATTTCCGCTTTTCAATCGAACCGCTTGTTGAAGCTACTGGTGGACTATTGATTCTCACATTGACGCTCGTAGACGGAAGACAGGTACGCTACTCTCCGTAGTCTGTGTTGCCAAGCTCTGTCTATCAAATAATATCTGGATGTCCGGATACTTCCCTATCATAGCTGCCACACGTGGAAGTTGATCGCATTGAAAATTGCAATTCGCTGTAACTAAACTATTCAAAGAAACGCCCGGCTCTTGAAGGACATCCTCCGTTTGAGCTAACTTTGAGGGCTTACCCATGACGTTTCTTGAATCCGCGATTACCACAGTGGAGTTCTGATCTGAATGCTTTTCGCTGTGGTTTATAATCCACATATCTGGAATAAGACTTTGAATATCCCAATTAATCAGATCGAATACCCTGGCTATATGCAAGCGGGGCAACAACCATTGCGCATAGAAATAACACTCGCACTTCGCTTCCCCTGCAATAACCACTTTATAACCCTTGCCCTTACTATTCACGACCATGAAGAACCCTCTCTCGTGAACAATTCGTTCAATCTTACATGACTTCCAGTTACTTAATAATATATTCCGCGCAAATGGTGTTACTCGTATGAGCAACGGTTTGAACGACTGCATGCCGCTGGGTATAGGATACCCCCTCATGGAATCTTTAGCAAGGCGAATTCCATGCGTCACTTCCAGTGACCTTGCTCGTTGTAGCACTTTCTTAGACACATCCACTAATGACGACCAAGGGGACAAGCCTGTTTTGAGGTGCCTATTTTCCGTCTCCACTCGGTTGGCAGTTAGNCTCCACTCGGTTGGCAGTTAGGTTCTCTAAGGTCAACCTAGTCTTCACCGCCTACCCTGCCCACTGCTCTCGGTATGGTAACCAAAATCGGCGTATATAAACACCTGTTTCTGTGCTAAGACTTTCTACGGCGGCTAGGAATCTACGAAACGATACCTCACTATCACAGTATACTATTTTGCGCGTTCATTGAAAGATGCGCTGATTTTCGAACGTGGGCAAACCAGATAGCTGGTTACATTTCTTCTTCATATCCTTAACGAGATAGAAACGACAAAATATCACATTAGATGACGGAAAGTATTCTGAAAACACTTTTTACTGATCCAAGCTACGATCAATTGCTATAGTCTTGCATTGTGCAAAGACTTGGCACAGATTTCATGGCTCCCACGGCAGATCTATAGCTCTCGCCGTCCTCATTCGGCAAGATAGCATAGAAGAAACTTCTACCTAAACCGGTGTCATCTACAAGCGTAGAATGCCAAAGCACGTACCCGCCACAATTTAGCTGATGTGTGGNTGCAGCATAATCTTGGGAACAAAATAAATGTGACGAACGACGCCTTCGTTCAGCCCTATCCTGACCTCTCCCTGATTCTCCAGCATATCCCTAACTTTCACCGCATCACCACGCGAATCCGATTGAGACCTTCTTTGACGTATGGACCTTATATCTGCCGTAGTTTACGATCTCCGGAACATGTGTGTGGCGACATCCCTTAGCTCGCGAGTACTTCTAAGATCGTCCATCAAAGTACTCACTTCCTCTTCCTGTTCTCCAGAGAGACGACGATTACTTGTATACAGACCCCGCTGACGCACATGGAAGTCATGGTTGTGCACCAGATAACGTTTCATCACTCTGTACTCCCTCCCAACCGCGCGAATTCCAACGAATGCCGGACAATCGATATTCTGCAGCCTAAAATGGGTCAATTACATTAGAAATGGTAGGCATAATTACCTGGTTGCAGTTGCACCGCGCCTTCTGTGATGTACACAGCAATATTTGATGAAATAGTACGGAAAAACCTCAGGAAGAGTCAGTTTCCGATAAAACTTTCTTTCCCGTATCAGTTGTTTGGCTGTCATTGACGCATAAATGTAGACGGAAGTGCAAGTATCTCCTTGGAATTCACGGAAGTCCTCCAAGAACCCGTCCAACGATCCATAGCAATTTTTTAACATCCGTTCAAAAACGACCGTATCGTCAACATGAGCCATGGTTGATATGAGCGTTAAAGTGATCGTCGCCATTAGATTGCGATATTTATACTTTCCGGACAGAGTCAATTAAGGTTAATTAAAACAAATTAAATTTTAACAAATCACTCAGAATCAGCTAAAATCAACATCTGTTCCATTTCGGAGGAATTCTACATCGCGCTTTCTAAAATACATTTAAAAATCGATCGTTTTTTTAAATCCTAATAGTTGGGATGCCACGCCACTACCGGTGTCTATGCTGCCCATTTTCAAATAACCTCCCTTTGCAGGTACGGGCGCGCCAAGGGAGACAGTTCGAAACGAAGAAATCGGCTGTGGTCAAACGGTCGACAAGAAGTCGAAGCTCCGGAAGACGTGTTTCCGACTGGAGCAAAATTTGGACGCTCGATAGGCGAAAGCCTTTACTGTGCAACCTGACCTGACCTGACTCTTCTTCAATTTTGCGCTCACAAACTTCGGGAAAGTTGGGAGTTGACCTCTCACTCTAGCGTCGCATTCTGGTCACGCCTAATAGATCAGGGCAGCAGACCCTGACACCGGCATCAACCAAGTTACAACCCCGACCGAAAGGGATGGGGAGTTCTAGTGGTAAGTAATTGGGTAATGGTGACGGCATGGGGATATGGTATGGAAAGAATAGAAGGTAGTAGT